TAAAGCCATATATATCATTCCAGTGATCTAGAGCCTATAAATGTACAACTATATCCCTGGTGGCTAAAGGACCATCATACACATTTGAGTAAACATTTCTGTTCCAGACTTCTCATCACATAATTTTTCAGCATGATGATGTGAAGATTTAAATAAAACAAACATAAAAAAAGAGAAATAAAAGCCAACATAGAAGAATTTTAGGATGTCTCCATCAACCTCATAATGTTCCGTTCCCATTTTTTGTAAAAAGAACAGAAGCCGCATATGCAATTATATTCAATTTAGAGAAACAAACAGAAGCAATGCCGCACCTCATACCTTTAACTCTACTAGAGGTCACTCCATTTAAACAAATACAACACTGAGGACAGATACGATGAACTGGTGCTACAAAGAACTGATTTGCTGTGTCATTCAGTGTATATAAAACAATGTGTAATCTTCCCTTTGAGGCATGAAAACAAATAAAATAGGATTACATTTACTGTCAGTCAAATGGTGACATTCTCTCTATGGCGAACCGTTCGATCCTTCAAGAAAACTGACAATTGCCCGGGAACTTCACGTGAAAACACTTCGCAGTGTGTGATTCAGTCATCGGCGTCATGGAGAGACCTGGCTTAGATAGCTTGCTTTAAAACCCAGGCATTATCTCAGGCTCTGCATCATTGCCTGGCAACTTATTTTCCAGTTCAGTGGAAATAATGAGGGACAGGTTGACAAATACTTGATGCAACCTCTTTTTAAAATAGCACGTCCCCCCTACATTGGCAGCTGCCACACTATCAGAGGGATTTCAAAGAAAATGGAGAGTCACACCAGTCAGAAATTACTCAGTTTTTGTACCAATTGAAATGTTTCAGAGAAAAGAAAGAGACCTATTTTAAAAAAAACCTGAGCATTTTATTTTCCTTTTTCCATTTACAACTGAATGAAACTTGCCCGGAGACTGGTTATTAGAGAAAGAATTTTCTTGTTTCTTTTTCTGCCTTCGTTTAACAGTAGGGGTAGTTTTTGACTGCTGTGCAACAAACCTATCTACCATACTGAATGCTAGCACTCAAGAAACAGAGGTTTTTTTGATACTACAACTCAGTATGCTGCTCAGGGAAGTCGGATGGCGACTGCAGGAGGCAGCAGATCCAGTGTGTAGTATGACACAATCTCCCAGTTAAAACTGACAAAGGCACAGGAAGGGTTTCATTAACCGCAGGGTCAGGAGGAATCCCTCTCTCACAACTCCTTCACTCTCCTCTCTGTTCATGCTGGCCACAGACGCCTTTGTTAAAGAGCCAAACAACATTTTGACACAACGCTAATCATTTCCATAACCTACAGTATATGCTGCCTTAATTTTGCTGCAGGATAATGCTGTTTTACATATGTTAATTTGCAGAATGAAAACTGCAAACATCCGGCATTTAGCGGTCAAATGACAATACACTAAAGCATTGTGTGCTGAAAACATACGCTGACAGGTTGGATATTTGTATTAGCTGCAACACAAAATGACTCCTTGTCAGTATTTATTTATGTTTGTCTTTTAAGACTGTAATTGCCACTTGCAATATATTGCCTCACCTCCCTACGTCAGCTTTCATTGGCAACACTGTATCTGAGTTTGTCACAATGTTTCCTACAATGACATCCAAAGTCATCTGCAAAATATTTCTTCATGTTTGTTTAAACTTATTTTTTTTTTTTACTGCAGCAGGAACATTTTAGATAGAATCATATACAGTATGTCAATCACAATAAATATTAATAAACGTCCCTGTCGAACACATCTCTGCCCGTGTTACAGAATGAAACCAAACAGTTTGTCTATACAGTTTGACCTGAAAATATCTAGGATGAAAATGATTTGAACCCTGCTCCTGTTTCCCTGGAAGATAAATACACACGATTATACTAATCTTTAACTATGCATTAATCATAATTATTGTAATTATGATGACACTTCACTATGTTTAATTCATTTTTTTAATTTGTATTCTATGCTACTTGTGGGTTACATGTGTCAGAATAACTATTGAACTTAATTATCTTTCAGAAACCACTCTTCTTCAAACAAGCACACATAGTCATGTAATTATATAATGTCTGCAACTAATGTGGAGTGCTTGTGGAGTGAGGGATTGATGGTTTGGTTGATGTTATAAATGGCCAATGTAATCAAAACGGTTAAGTGAGCAATCGCTTTTTATTATTTAACAGCTAAAATATTTGTTGTGGCAATAATGCTCTAAATAAGGGTTATGATTGATAAAATACTTTAAAGGCACATTCAGTACAGTACTTGTCCTCCTCCAAGAGTTTAAACACCTTGTTGTTTCCAAACTTTTGTCATAAATGTATTCAAACAGAACAGTATGATTCAGATACATCGGGGTGAGAGGAGGAGGATGCTTTGAAATGGGTAATTTAAAAATTCAGGGTGGGGATAGTGGGGCCGTAATAATACGCACTGGCATGAATATTTAAAATCCTCTTATCTTAAATTTAAAAGTGGAGAGATTTTTTCCCCTCCGCTGTCAGCTGGGAGCGACGTGAGGCAGTGATCTCTGCAGGTGGGTGGCGTGGCCTCTTTTCAGTTGTACATCAACATGACTTTTTCAACTGAACTTTTATGAGGTAGGTCACACAACCGTGGAGTGTTAGTCAAGAGTGTATTCAGGTCATAGGATACTCGAAAGCCTTGTGCTGTTGGTGGGGGAAAAAAAAGGTAGCAGTGATTTATGTTTGTAAATATCTCCAGATCATATATACTGAGCGACACACTCCAGTCAATGATGATGATGCAGTGCAAACTGTGGTTAATCCTATGTACTGTGGCATCTGGCCATCTGGGCTCAGGAGGATTTATATAGTGTTTGAGGGCAGAGGGGAGGGGATCAAATATGCATGATACTGCAAAATTAAGATGACTCAATAACTGAAGCTACACTGTACGAACAGAGAATTGTCCCAGCAGTGTTTGAGCCAGTATTTTCCAGTATGGGGTTCAAATGGACCCAGTAGTACTTCTACAGGGGCAATAAACGCTGTGAGTACTCAAACATAATACTAACATGATATGAGAATTTATTTTAGACATATACCTTTGTTTCGTTTGTGATTGTTCTTAACAAAAGATATATTTTAAATTATAAAATATTGTGAAGCTAATAGAGCGATCGAGTTCCCTCCTTTGTCTCACCAGGGTTTAACTGTGCCACTAGCAATTACATTTGAATCGGTATTTTAATTCAAGTTCACTTCAAAGAACTATAATACATCTGTATCTAGAAAACCAGACCAGCTTACAGTAGCTCACATGTTTTTCATTCTTTTAATCATGACATAAAAGTAAAACTCTGGTGACAATTAAAGCTGAAGATATATAATCTAAACTGGTCCTAAATTGATCTAATTGTAATGTTAGCCAACGTGCTGTCAACCAATGTAAGATTGTTTATTGACCAAGAGAAACATTAGTTAGCTGTTTTCCTGGTAACACTTCATCTGGATAGTCCACCTACCGTTTTCTGACATTACACCACTGTGGTTAAGGTTTGGTTATTTTTAGGCATAAAAAACATCTTGGTTAGGGTATGCTCATGAATTGTCACATATACTCTATAAATAATTTATCCTCTATAAACTATATATGGGTGGATAATCTAAATAAAGTGTTAAATTCTTACTAAGTTTTAAAAAATGATCTAAATGGTATTGACTCTCTTCTCCAACAAACCATCTTTGGCAGATCAAACAGGCACCAGCTTGCATTCTTACCAGGTACCAGCCAACAGTTTCTTTCCGAGTTTAGCTAACTCACAAAATAAATGTTGATACAGCTTATAGAGAAAAGGGGGACCGTTGGGTGCAAGGGTAATGCAGTGACGGAGTACTTTTTAAGAACATCGTCGTAATCTGGCTCAAACCCTGTCCCAGTGATAATGACAACCCCTTTGCTCATTAACTCAGATATGAATTTATATTGTAACATGAAGACTTTTATTGCAAATAATAGTTGTTGGATAAAAGGGACTTGTTAATACCATTATTCAAAAGAATCAACATCCAGTACATTTCATATGGAATACTAGCATGGTCTTAACTGCTTAGACAAGCAACCAACATAACTCCAGACTGTCACCAATGTGCCACAATAATCATTATGACTTTGAATAGCAGTTGTTTTAGTTTATCAGCGAAGTTGATTTAAATAAATCACAAACAGACATAGCCTGGTGGTCTGTAGGAGGTATGTATTTTTAGACCAGGTTTAAGAACCAACTGTGTTGAAAAGCAGGTTCCATTCATAAAAAGTATGAATATCTGTAAAATGGCCACCTCAAAAAACACAGGTTAACTTTGACATGCAGCACAACCATACTCTCTGCACATCGTCAAACACGCAAGTGTGTGAAAACTATGACTACACACTGGCTCTAAAGACCAAAAGGTATCCTATTTTCTCCAAATATACACACATTGATTCTGTTCTATAATACTGTTATATTGGTTCACACCCTCTCTCTTTCAAAAAGTAGGTAATTTGATTGCAAACATTGTTCTTTTTAATGTACTCGTCTGACAAAAAATCAACAACAGTTATGGCATCTAAATGAACCCGACAACATTATAAACTATGCCATACTGTGCCTCATTCAAATAAATGTCACATATCCAGTTTTACAGTTTCAAATCTATTTTTTATACATTGTTTTCATAAAGGAAGAGAATAAATATATTTCTGACCCATTTTCATTATACCTTAACATTTAAACAAGATCATATGGTGCAGTATTTTCATAATTTGTAACACAAGCTGATAACAATTCCAGTACAAACAATAAAAGAAAAGAAAATGTTTAGCAGACCTTAAAACAAATCATCACAAAACGTTAAAGTCATAACAGTGTTTGTGCTTTAAGTCTTTTAACTGCGATGGCTATTTCTCTATAGGTTTGCAGTTACAAGTTCATGTGAAAATACTGTGTGAACTTGGGTACTATTAGTCCCTCGATCGCGGGCCAAAATATAACACAATCCAAATCCAAAGCAAGACTTGCAAACATGTCAACCTGCACGACAAATACTGCATTTTTATCAGATGCATCTGGCTTATTTGAAAATACCTGTGAGAGCCATAAGTTGAGAATTGTTTGTCTTTACTGAATAGAATGCCTAATTTGAAAGATAAGTCAGCTATTGGTTAATGAACATTCAATAATCAGTAATATGTCAAACAAATGAGTTGTATTTTATTCTGGAAGTGTCCTTTTAAAGGAGGTTCATTTAATGTCTATGGTACTATTAAGGCATTACAGTACAGTATCTCTGTTTACACCATGGATTGAAGATAGTTAAGGATGAATATGCCCTGTCTTGTCATAAAGGAAACCGTTACAATACCGTTGTTTTTGAGCCTTGATATGGTTGATTTCAGTGAATAAAAAGCCACATTTTCTTCTATTAAACGACCTCATGGTTTAATTTGTTCTCAACTCTGCTGGATGTCCACTGGCCCTGTGGACACTGTTTGGGTGTTTAATAAAACTGACACTCATCTTGGAGGAGCTCTTAGCCCCCTAGACTATGTTTGTAGTGATGAGCATGTTCAGAAACTTTATTTTGTGTTCTGTTTCTCATAATTAACATGAGAAGGACTCACATCAGAACCAGGTTTCATTATTAGTACCTTTTTTGTACTTTACCAATTATGTTTTGCCGGAAATCTTAAGTTATTAATTTCCATTACTTGTTAACTGGTACAATTAAATAAATATATTTACTGTAACAGTGATTGTAATATATTTAAGTATTGAACTATCTGTAAAGAAAGATAGCTGCTGCTTTCACAGAATCCATTATCTAAGTATCTTGCTGAAGCCAAAAACTTCAAGCGACCTACAGTGTGCAGCTGTGGGTTTTCAGCCAGTAGATGATCAATAGGTACACAGCAAATTCAGAGACAAAACCCTCTGCTCAGACGCCCACTGGAAGTGGCATGTTTCAAAGAACTGCATCTTTAAGAGAAAAGCTTAAAACAGTTGAACTCGCTTTTTCTTCCCAACAGCAATAGTTTGTTGCAACATTCACGTATATGTGGACTCACTGAAAAAAAAAGTATGTAGTATATACTGTAGTATTTATATTTTCAAGAAAAATGTAAACATAGGGCTGCGATGTTCCTCCCTTCATACTGTACAAAGTCATGAACTGTGTTAATGTTCTTGGTCGAATGAGAAAAGCTGGTCCCACTTCAAAATAAAAGCCTACACTATATTAAAATATAAAGATACAATACAGTATACTTTGCTACTTTGACGGCTGCCTGATCAATTCTGTTAGGCAGGCATAGTAACTGAAGGACCCATTTCAGAATACAACAAAGCACACCTTCAACACGGTTCATCCATCTATTGAGTAATCATGACAATACAGGTCCTGAAAAAGCCCTGCCTATTTTGTTCTTTTGTTTTTTTTAGGTTTTTCTGTATTTTTTTTTTTTTAAGCACACTCCATAATCTGAATTTGTATTGTTAGGAATCTAAATGTCTTTCCTTTGTTCAACAACCCATAATACATTCAATACAACATTGGTATGGTAATTCTGTGTACTGAGAGACTTGGCACAATTGCGTCTTTTTAGCCATGTACAAAAACGGATGGAAATGTCAATTTTGCGCCATCGCCTCCCAGAGAAAGAGGCATGAAAGTAACTCATTTGGGTAGTTTAGGGGCTTTTGATATGAGTGGAGGTGGAGTGGGGCTGGGGCTGAGCACTGATTCACAAGGTGGTCAATCAATCATAAAAGAAAATAGGAAATAATAATAATAAAAAAAACATCATAGTATTTACATGACATGAAATTTCACCAAAAAGCAAAGAAAAAAATAAAATTCCCCACACAAAGTAACGCTGATTATTTTCCCCTTACGGCTTTTCAACAAACTGTACCAGATTGGATTCCAGCCATCAGCAATGTCAAAAAGGATTCATAAATGCTCTCGACAGTCATTGTGTCTGGGCTGGCCTCTGCTAGTACACACTGATGAAGGAGGAGAGAGCCAGGACCAGGTATCGGCAGGCCAGCGGGACGTACGCGCTTCCTGTGCTCCCATAGGGTGCAGTGTTGGGCGCTGTGGGCAGGAAACAAGAGAAGCTCTGATTAGTTGTGATTGCACTTTCACTCTGCAGCACCCACCATTTGAAAACCCACAGTCAGCTTGGTATGGTGCTTCTAAATGAGACTGTAAAAACTGCAATTACTGTACCACTGCTGCTGTTTTGAGTTGGTTTCTCCATTTGTAAGAGAAACTCATACTTCACAACTCTGCTGCTGCTCCGTATTCAGAACAGTGGAGGAAGTTTTTTCAGATCCTGTACTTCATGTTTAAAGGTACCAACTTCACCATGTAAAATTACTCAACTGCATAACTATTTCAGTTCTCAGTACTTGCGTATATTAGCAAATATCAAAATTAAAGTTCTCATTCAGCAGGAACTTGGCCCCTGTGACTGATATATTATTATATTTGACATTGTTAGATTGTCGACACTAATGTTTTAAATTGTGAGCAGCATATTACTGTTGTAGCTGGTTGAGGTGGAGCTAGTTTTAACTACTTTATACACAGTTAGTAGTTGGTTTAATCCAGTGGTTCCCGACCTGGTGGTCAGGTCCCTCCAAATGATCACGAGATAAGTCTGAGGCTTAATGAGATAATTAATCAAGTCAAGACAACTGGGGAACATTCTCTATTTTTTGGTTTTCACCACTGAACCGTTATTTAAATGAAACAATTGTAGTTTCAGAGAGGAAATCAGTCTGTGGTGGAACTGCTAACAATTTATAAACAGCTGATAACTTTTTTGTAATCACACACAAGCAAACATTAATGGGAACCACTGGTTTAATCTTTAAATATCATATATACAAATAGTCTGCCTGGAACAATAATGAATCTGATATGATAAAAAAAACACATAAATTAAACACAATAAAAAGGCATCTACTGCTTCTACCTCATTAGAAATTCCAGAATATATGAATATGCAAACTTCACTGTAGCAATTAGCACTTCAACACATAAACAAACAAACACATAAATAAATAACTGGTAAGGTGCTTGAACTCAACTTCGCCAGACATCTTTCGAGAACCTTTAATGACCACAAAGGTAAAAACATGACTCTCAGGCATAACATTTCTCAGATGCTCTTAAATAATACATCTGCTTAAAATTTAAAGCTCTTTGAATATCAACATGTAAACTGTCCTACACAATTCCTTTAGTCAAAAGTCAGTAATCCATGTTGGCGAATGGTTCAGGTTCCTCAGCAGAAAATCAAATTTTTGACACATTTTCACACTGCACCACTAACTTTAATCTTAATGCTAAGTGAAAACAACACACAGTGTCACAGGGGGTGGAGATGTGTTAACAGTCTGAGTTTGACAGCCAGCATCTCTATTTGTTTAAAATCAGTGGGAAATCTGCAGAGGTGTCGTCGGGATTCGATGAGCCTGCTGATCTTAGACATACTGAGGCTTACTTTACAGCTCCCTCACTATCCTGTGCTGTAAGGGTGGGACAACTTATCCGATTATGATTCTTATTGATCCATAAATGTTTTTGACTTCACATAACTCTAACTCCACCCAGCCTTTAGAGTGTCCGATTAAATAGAAAAACGTGTGGGGTGAGCAGGGCACCTTTAATCTGAA